GATTTTAGATTTTTCAACTTTTCGGTTTCTCGATTTTTCAATTTCCCAGTTTTTCAAAGTTTCAATTTTAGGATATTTCATATTTTTCGACTTATCAATTTTTTCATACTTCAGTTTTGGAATTATTCAATATTTTGATTCTTCAATTTTTCGATTTCTCGATTTTTTATTTTTGCGATTTTTCAAATTTTAGTGTTTCGAATTTTTCGAGTTCACGTCTTTTCGATTTCGCGATATCCCGACTTTTTACTTTTTCGATTTTTCAATATGTCGAATCTTTTAACTTTAGATTTTTCGCTTTTTCAATTGTCGAGTTTCCTAATTCAATTTCCCTATTTTTAAAATTTTTCGACTTTTCGACTTTCGATTTTTCGATTTTTTCACTTTTCGATTCTTCGATGTTTCGTTGTCCCAATTTACATTTTAGTTTTGAGATTTTCCAATTTTTCGAAATTTCAATTTTTCAATTTCTAGATATCACGTTTTTTTGATTTTTCAGGTTCCGATTTTTCAATTTTTCGAATTTTTAAGTTTTAGATTTTTCGATTTTCCAATTTTTCAATTTTTCGATTTATCGAAATTTCGATGTTTCGCTTTTCCAGTTCTTCAGTTTCCCAATTCGGTTTAACTACTTTTAAAAATTTTCGACTTCTGGATTACTCGATTTTTCTATTTGTTGACTTTTCGATTCTTCGATTTTTTGTTTACCCAATTTTTCGATGTTTCGTTTTCCCAATTTTTTGCCACTGTAGTTTTGGATTTTTCAATTTTTCGAATTTTCAATTTTTCGATTTCTCGATTTCACGTTTGTTTGATTTTTCAGGGTTCGATTTTTCAATTTTTCGAATTTTTAAATTTTACATTCTTCGATTTTTCAATTTTTCGATTTCACGATTTTTTCGTTTCGAATTCCCGATTAAATTGTTTAATACAATTTTTTCTGATTTTCGATTTTAAAAATTTGTTGGCTTTTCAATTTTTCCATTTTTTGGGGTTTATAAATTTTTGACTTTTCGATTTCTCGATCTTTCGACTTTTCGATTTTTCAATTTTTCCCATTTCACGATTTCTCAAATCTTTGATGTTTCCATTTCCCGATTTTTCAATTTTTTAATTTTTGGTGTTATAAATTCTCGATTTTTCGATTTCACGTTTCTTTGATTTTTCAGGTTCCGATTTTTTTTCGAATTTTAAAATTTTTGGATTTTCGATTTCTCGTTCTTCCGAATTTTGTATTTTTTGGTTTTTGAGTTTTCCTTTTCTCGAACTTTCGATGTTTTAATTGCTTGACTTCTCGATTCTTATCAGTACATACTTCCATTCTTGGATTTTGTAAATTTTCGATTTTTCGAATTTTCCACTTTTGGATTTTTGAACTTTTCGATTTCTCGAGTTTTCAATTTCTCAGTTTCTCAAATTTGGAATTTTTCTTTTTTTTCGATATACCGACTCATCAGTTTTTTCATGTTTCAGTTTTGGAATTCTTCAATTTTTCGATTTTTCGATTTCTAAATTTTTTATTTTTTAGATTTTTCATATTTTTGGGTTTTTAAATGATAAGTTTTTCGATTTTTCAATTTTCAATTTTTCAAGATTTCGCGATATTTCAATTTTTTATTCCTCAATTTTTCGAGTTTACGACTTTCCGATTTCGCGATTTTTCGATTTTTTAAATTTTAAATTTTTTGATTTTCCAGTTTTTTCCAGTTTTTTTATTTATCGAAATTTCAATGTTTCGCTTTTTCAATTGTTCAGTTTCCTAATTCGATTTCCCTATTTTTCAAATTTTTCAACTTCTCAACTTTTTGATTAGGTACTCGATTTTTTTATTTTTGACTTTTCAATTTCTCGATTTCACGTTTGTTTTATCAGGCCCGATTTTTTAATTTCTCGAATTTTTAAATTTTACATTTTTCGATTTTTCAACTTTTCGATCTTATGATTTTTTTGTTTCGATTTCCCATTTTAAAACTTTTTTTAATTAAATTTTTCTGTTTTTGAAATTTTAAAATTTTTTGCCATTTCAATTTTTCAATTTTTGGCTTTTATAAATTTTTGATTTTTCGATTTCTCCGTCTTTGCACTTTTCAAATTTCAATTTTTCCCATTTCACGATTTCTCGAATTTCTCATGTTTCAATTTCCGTATTTTTCAATTTTTCAATTTTTGGCGTTTATAAATTTTCGATTTTTCGTTTTTCCAATTTTTCGATGTTTTTTTCCAATTTTTTGACATCTCAGTTTTGAGATTTTACAATTTTTCGATTTCTCGATTTCCCGTTTCTTTGATTTTTCAGGTTCCGATTTTTCAGTTTTTGGAATTTTTAAACTTTAGATTTTTCGATTTTCCAATTTCTCTGTTTTTCGATTTATCGTGATTTCGATGTTTCACTTTTCGAGTTGTTCAGTTTTCCAATTGGATTTCCCTATTTTTAAAATTTTTCGACTTCTCGATTACTCGATTTTTCTATTTTTTGACTCTTCGGTTTTTCGATTTTTCGTTTTCTCAATTTTTCGATGTTTCGTTTTCCCAGTTTTTTGACATTTCAGTTTTCGGATTTTTCAATTTTTCGAATTTTCAGTTTTTCGATTTTTTGATTTCACGTTTCTTTGATTTTTCAGGTTCCGATTCTTCAATTTTTCGAATTTTTAAATTTTTCGATTTTTCAATTTTTCGATTTTTTTACGTTTCTCTTGATCGATTTCTCCCGATTTTAAAACCTTTTAATTAAATTTTTCTGTTTTTCGATTTTGAAAAATTTTTGGGCTTTTCAGTTTTTCAATTTTTGGCTTTTATAAATTTTGGATTTATCGATTTTTCGATCCTTGGACTTTTCTATTTTTCTCATTTCAAGTTTTCTTGAATGTTTGATGTTTCAATTTCCTGATTTTTCAATTTTTCGCGTTTATAAATTTTCGATTTCTCGTTCCTACGAATTTTTGATTTTTCGGTTTTTTGAGTTTTCCCTTTCTCGAATTTTCGATTATTTTCAATAATAATAATAATAATAATAAGTTTATTAGTGCATAAAAACTACAGAGGTTTTTGCATAAGTCAAGATACAAAATTAAAATTAAATACATTTAAATTGAAAAGTACAACACATCATTTAGAAATACTTCAATTCTTGGATTTTGTAAATTTTCAATTTTTCGAATTTTTCACTTTTGGATTTTTAAACTTTTCGATTTCTCGATTTTTCAGTTTCTCAATTTTGGGATTTTTAATTTTTTTCGATTTACCGATTTATCAATTTTTTCATCTTTCAGTTTTGGAATTTTTCAATTTTTCGATTTCTCGATTTCTCGATTTTTTATTTTTTCGATTTTTCAATTTTCAATATTTCAAGATTTTAGTGTTTCTTTTTCGTGATTTTTCTATTTTTTATTCATCAAATTTTCGAGTTTCCGACTTTTTGATTTGCGATTTTTCCAAAAAATTTTAGATTCTTTGATTTTCCAATTTTTCAATTTTTCGATTTATAGCGAAATTTCGAAGTTTCGCTTTTCCAATTGTTCAGTTTCCTCATTTGATTTCTCTATTTTTTAAATTTTTTGATTTCTCGACTTTTCGGTTACTCGATTTTCGATTTTTGACTTTTGGGTTCTTCGATTTTTCGTTTCCTCATTTTTCGATGTTTCGTTTTCCTAATTTTTTGACTTTTAGTTGAGGGATTTTCCAATTGCTCGAATTTTCAATTTTTCGAATTTTTCACTTTTGGATTTTTAAACTTTTCGATTTCTCAATTTTTTAGTTTCTCAATTTTGGGATTTTTCATTTTTTTCGATTTACCGATTTATCAATATTTTCATCTTTCAGTCTTGGAATTTTTCAATTTTTCAATCTCTCGATTTTTTATTTTTTCGATTTTTCAAATATTCGGTTTTTTAAATTTTAGGTTTTTCGATTTTTCAATTTTCAATATTTCAAAATTTTAGTGTTTCTATTTCGTGATTTTTCTATTTTTTATTCCTCAAATTTTCGAGTTTCCGACTTTTTGATTCGCGATTTTTCAAAAAAATTTTAGATTCTTTGATTTTTCGATTTAGCGAAATTTCGAAGTTTCGCTTTTCCAATTGTTCAGTTTCCTGATTTGATTTCTCTATTTTTTAAATTTTTTGACTTCTCGACTTTTCGATTTTTGACTTTTGGGTTCTTCGATTTTTCGTTTCCCCATTTTTCGATGTTTCGTTTTCCCAATTTTTTGACATTTTAGTTGAGTGATTTTCCAATTTCTCGAATTTTCGATTTTTCGATTTTACGTTTCTTTGATTTTTCAAGTTCCGATTTTTCAATTTTTCGAATTTTAAAATTTTAGATTTTTCGATTTTCCAATTCCAATTTTTAAATCATTTTTTCTGTTTTTCGATTTTAAAAATCTTTCGGTTTTTCGATTTTTCAACTGCTCAATATTTCAGTTTTCAATTTCCGTATTTTTCAATTTTTCGATTTTTTGACGTTTCTCTTGGTCGATCTTTCAGTTTTTCGTATTTCAGTTTTCTGAAAACCTTTGATGAATATTTTATTATCGATCGAAAAATAATTGTCATAATTCAGAACTATTTGGCTATTTTGTGGCATTTTTTTTTTATACAACTATAATCTAACATTTCTAGACCGAAATAAATAATTTCATTTGATTAATGTTCTTTAAAAATCAAACATATTTTGTTAAGTAGATATTTGTTTAATAATTTTTTTGTCTAAACACAATTCGCGTCAAACTTTAAATTGTATGCTGAGTTGATTTTTCCAACCAGTGGTGCCAATCGTACATTTTTAGAAATAGACTAACACCACTAATACTAATCAAAAAATGTATGCACGATATCTTCAGATTTGCCTCTTACTACAGCGATGAACCGCCAATACAATAAAAAGTACTGAAACGTCTAGCTTTTAAAATTATATTTTCGTTAAAACTTACAAAATCTAGGGAATTATTACACCATTGTAACCATCAGGTGCACCAACTCCCTCTTTTGACATTTGACCGCTTCGCATCTTTGACAGTTGTTTATTTTTGTGCAAATTAGGTTAGAATCCCCGTAAAAATACAACAGAACATAAAAAATGCACTGTCTGTCCACACTAACGTAACAAATCAACCCCATTTTTTCCAGTTTCGTGCTCCCAAACCCAACCCTAACCCCAAAATGCTGAAAATCCGTGCCCTCAACCGGGAGTCTTCCTCCGACGAAGACGTCCCAGTAATCCGAAGAGAAGCCCAGGAAGAAATCGCCCTGGAACTCTACAACAAAGCCCTGCGCCTGCAATCAATCGAAAACGTGGCAGAGGCCGAAGAAATCTTACTCAATTTGCTCAACGAAAACATTCCTCAACTCGAAAACAATGGGGGGCTGCCGTCTTCAATGTCCACCCTCAAGTACTCGTGTTGTGTTAATATAGGCAACGTTTATGTGAAGAAAGGGGATATAGATAACGCGTTGGAATACTATTTGAATGTAATTGAGTGTTGAGTGGGGTGATTTTTGAGGTTATGTGATTGTAATTTCAGGCTTCTGAATTGGATGGCACGGATGTGACGCTGTGGCACAAGATTGGGAAATTAGCACTGAAACAAAACAGATTTCGGCAGGCAGCTTTTGCGTTTTCTAGGGTTTGTCTTGGAAATTGTTGGAATCATTGGAAAATAATTATTTTTGTAGGGACTTGACTGTAGCGAGTCACATTGGCCATGTTTAGATCAGTTAATTTCTGTGTTGTATGCCCTCAAAGACACAATCGGGTGTCTTGTATATATTGGGAAAGCGTTAACACTGGACTCAGATTATACCAAAGGGTTAGTGTTACGAAAGCAGATTTATAAGGACAATCCAGCAACTTTACCCTACTATCAAAAATATAACCCTGATTAGTGAGTCTTTTTCTTTAATTACGTTTCTTTGTATACTAAGTATTTTGCTTTTATTAGTATTTGGGAGCCTCCTCTCACTGTAGAAATAGATGAAAATGATGAAAAACTTATCCTTGATAAAGAACAAATTCTTTGTGATAGACTCACAGAGGTAGAGAAATCTCAAGGTCCTAAACCTTTACAAACAATCCCTTTACCTAAAGCACTTGATGACTATACATGGGTGGCTTTAGGTAAAGTGGTAATAGATCTCCATCAATACATTACAGACAACAACATGGTAGGTGTATCTGTCACAAAAACAACCACTTTATTGTGTGTATTTAGAGTCATTTTACTATGGTTGATATAAGCAAGTGCATGAGTCAAAACAACGACGTTGAAATGGAAGAAGCGCCAAAATTCGAGGTCCCGCCAGAGAACAAAGTGGTTGAAGAAGTTGTTGAAAAAGCCGCGGAAGTAGAAGTGGAAGAAGAAAAAGAAAAAGATTTAAAAGAGAAAGAAAAAATGGAAGTGGAAAGTGTGTTAGAAAGAAGGCAGTCGCAAAATAGCGAAACTAATAATGAAGGACAGGAAAATACGCCCATTCAAACAGACAATGATGAGGTGGGTTTTTGGTTTTTTTGTCACTTTGGTAATTGTAGTTGGTAGGAGCAAGCCATGGAACAAGACGGAGACGACCAGGACGACAACAACGACAGCAAGACTGATAAAAATCGGTCTTTAAACAAGAGTAATAAACGGAAACGTGACCTTTTGTCGGATTTGCAAATTTGGGGGTGGCACAGTAAGCGAAAGTCGGCCAAAAAGGGGAAGTCTGATAAAGATTTTACAGTGGAGGATGCCCTGAATAGGATTATTCCAAAAAAGTTGCTGTAAGATTTTGGTTAAATTATAATTTTGTGTGTGTATAAGTTGGTAATTGCAGGAAAAGTAAAGTTGGTGAAGAAAAGTTAAACCAGTTTGAAGACTCTCTAAATACTATAGATATGTATAATATGTATGCTGCTGATGAACCTGCTAATATTTTGTCGCCTGTGCACTCCCTGACAGCAGCCACTCAGTGAGTATTAATATCGTCATTCAAATTCTGATTGGTTTTTATTTTCTTTATTTTTTATTTTTTTTTTGTTCTTCAATTTGATATTCCAACTTTTGGATGTTTCAATTTTTTGACTGCCAATTTCACGAACTTCCAATTTTTAATTTTTTCGAATAAAAAAAATAATGGAAAAATTGCAAAACTGTAAAATCAAAAATGAAAAAACGAAAAAATATAAAATGAAAACGTTGAAAATTCTAAAATTTGGGAATCAGGGACTTGAAAAATTGAAAAATCCAAAGATTGTTAAAAATCGAAAAAGTGGAAAATCGAAAACACGGAAAACGTATTATAAAATCAAAAATTGCAAATTTGAAAAATTTAAAAACTGGAAAATCAAGAGATATTGAAAAAATAAAAGGAATGAAAAAAGGGAAAAAGTGATATAAAATAGAAAAAAATAATATTAAAAATGAAAAATTGTATAACCGAAAAATTGCAAATAAAAAATTGAAAAAATTAAAGTTGAAAAAAACGCCAAATTGAGATCAAAAAATTGGTCTTCAGACATTTAGACAAGACTTCCCTTGCGCCTGAAGACAAATATTGAAACAAATTCAGTGTGATGCGCACAAAAATTGTTGTAGCATAATTGTGATAATAATCAAGGCATACTCATAAACCACTAATATAGGAGTATGTTATGTTATAAAGTGTAAATATGAGTTACTACGAAAAAAAGAGTTTACATCATTTAATTGTTGATGGAGATGATAAGATAAATTTTGATTAGCACAATATTCTTAACTAAATGAGGCAATTAATTTTATTGGTTAAATCAAGAACGACTCACTCCATTTTTCCGAAATTGCAATCGTTAAAAATATGAAGATTTTATGAAAGGTAGAGCTCAGTCTTATGAAGACATTTCATGAAAAGTAATAGAAAATATTCAATTAATGCAAAACTATTAAAGTTAAAAAATGATAAACAAATATAAAATTTAAAATTTAAAATGTCTTGGAGTTCCTTTCCTAATAATGATTTTTTTTTCTCGCCAGTTTTAATTTTCAGATCTTTCCTTTTACGGTTGTTTTTCTTTCTGATGGTTTTCTTCCACTTGTTTCTTTTTTCTTTCTTCTGTTAATTACCCTTCATATGCCGTATTTGTATGAAGACAGAGTTTATACAAATCTGGAGTAAATTCTACTTTATGGATTTCATTATTGTAGATGTTTTTAATAGCCAAAAAACCGAAAATTAAAAAAATCGAAAAACTGAAAAATCATAAACCTGAAAAGTCGAAAAATGGAAGAATTGGAAAACGGAAAAATCGAAAAATCCACAAATCCAGAAGTCGAAAAACGAAAAAATCAATTAATCGAAAAGTTAAGAAATCGAAAAAATTTAGAAACGTCAAAAATTAAAGAATTCAATAATCGAAAAATTGAAAAATCCTAGAACTGAAACTATTGATAAATAATTGAGAAATAGAACAATTTAAAAATAAAAAAACGAGAAATCGAGTAGTTGAGAAATCGAAAAAGTCGAAAAACCAAAAAATCGATTTATCGAGAAAATGGGACAACGAAAGGTGGAAAAAATCGGAAATTTAGAAATGTCAAAAATTGAAAAATATTAAGAAACGAAAATTCAAAATTCCAGAAAACAATAAGTCTAAAAACGACAAAATCTATTAATCGAGAAACCAAGAAATCGAAAATGCTTCTAAATTTGAAAAATCGTAAAACGCAACTTTGGAAAATTGAGAAATCGAAAAATTTAAAAACAAAAAATAACGAAAAATCGGAAAGTTAAAAAACCAAAAAATCAATTATTCGAGAAAAGTCGAAAAAATCGAAAATATGAAATCGTTAAAGAATGGAAAAAAATCGAATATTTGAAGAACCGAGAAATTTAGGAATCGGAAGATTGAAAAATCCTACGAAATTTCGAAAAACCAAGAAATCGAAAAGTCAAAAATTTAAGCCAAAAAACCGAAAATTAGAAAAATCAAAAAACTGAAAAATCATAAACCTGAAAAGTCGAAAAATGGAAGAATTGGAAAACGGAAAAATCGAAAAATCCACAAATCCAGAAGTCGAAAAACGAAAAAATCAATTAATCGATAAGTTAAGAAATCGAAAAAATTTAGAAACGCCAAAAATTAAAGAATTCAAAAATCGAAAAATTGAAAAATCGTAGAACTGAAACTATTGATAAATAATTGAGAAATAGAAAAATTTAAAAATAATAAAACGAGAAATCGAGTAGTTGAGAAATCGAAAAAGTCGAAAAACCAAAAAATCGATTAATCGACAAATTGGGACAACGAAAGGTCGAAAAAATCGGAAATTTAGAAATGTCAAAAATTGAAAAAGATTAAGAAACGAAAATTCAAAATTCCAGAAAACAATAAGTCTAAAAACGACAAAATCTATTAATCGAGAAACCAAGAAATCGAAAATGCTTCTAAATTTGAAAAATCGTAAAACGCAACTTTGGAAAATTGAGAAATCGAAAAATTTAAAAACAAAAAATAACGAAAAATCGGAAAGTTAAAAAACCAAAAAATCAATTATTCGAGAAAAGTCGAAAAAATCGAAAATATGAAATCGTTAAAGAATGGAAAAAAATCGAATATTTGAAGAACCGAGAAATTTAGGAATCGGAAGATTGAAAAATCCTACGAAATTTCGAAAAACCAAGAAATCGAAAAGTCAAAAATTTAAGCCAAAAAACCGAAAATTAGAAAAATCAAAAAACTGAAAAATCATAAACCTGAAAAGTCGAAAAATGGAAGAATTGGAAAACGGAAAAATCGAAAAATCCACAAATCCAGAAGTCGAAAAACGAAAAAATCAATTAATCGATAAGTTAAGAAATCGAAAAAATTTAGAAACGCCAAAAATTAAAGAATTCAAAAATCGAAAAATTGAAAAATCGTAGAACTGAAACTATTGATAAATAATTGAGAAATAGAAAAATTTAAAAATAATAAAACGAGAAATCGAGTAGTTGAGAAATCGAAAAAGTCGAAAAACCAAAAAATCGATTAATCGACAAATTGGGACAACGAAAGGTCGAAAAAATCGGAAATTTAGAAATGTCAAAAATTGAAAAAGATTAAGAAACGAAAATTCAAAATTCCAGAAAACAATAAGTCTAAAAACGACAAAATCTATTAATCGAGAAACCAAGAAATCGAAAATGCTTCTAAATTTGAAAAATCGTAAAACGCAACTTTGGAAAATTGAGAAATCGAAAAATTTAAAAACAAAAAATAACGAAAAATCGGAAAGTTAAAAAACCAAAAAATCAATTATTCGAGAAAAGTCGAAAAAATCGAAAATATGAAATCGTTAAAGAATGGAAAAAAATCGAATATTTGAAGAACCGAGAAATTTAGGAATCGGAAGATTGAAAAATCCTACGAAATTTCGAAAAACCAAGAAATCGAAAAGTCAAAAATTTAAGCCAAAAAACCGAAAATTAGAAAAATCAAAAAACTGAAAAATCATAAACCTGAAAAGTCGAAAAATGGAAGAATTGGAAAACGGAAAAATCGAAAAATCCACAAATCCAGAAGTCGAAAAACGAAAAAATCAATTAATCGAAAAGTTGAGAAATCGAAAAAATTTAGAAATGCCAAAAATTAAAGAATTCAAAAATCGAAAAGTGGAACAATCGTAGAACTGAAACTGTTGATAAATAATTGAGAAATAGAAAAATTTAAAAATAATAAAACGAGAAATCGAGTAGTTGAGAAATCGAAAAGGCGAAAAACCAAAAAATCGATTAATTGAGAAATTGGGACAACGAAAGGTCGAAAAAATCGGAAATTTAGAAATGTCAAAAATTGAAAAAGATTAAGAAACGAAAATTCAAAATTTCAGAAAACAATAAGTCTAAAAACGACAAAATTTATTAATCGAGAAGTCAAGAAATCGAAAACGTTTTTAAAATTAAAAAATTGAAAAATCGAAAAACGCAACTTCGGAAAATTGAGAAATCGAAAAATTTAAAAACAAAAAATAACGAAAAATCGGAAAGTTAAAAAACCAAAAAATCAAGTATTCGAGAAAAGTCGAAAAAATCGAAAATATGAAATCGTCAAAAATAGGAAACGAATCGAATATTTGAAGAACCGAGAAATTTAAGAATCGGAAGATTGAAAAATCCCACGAAATTTCGAAAAATCAAGAAATCGAAACGTCAAAAATTTAAGCCAAAAAACCGAAAATTAAAAAAATCGAAAAACTGAAAAATCATAAACCTGAAAAGTCGAAAAATGGAAGAATTGGAAAACGGAAAAATCGAAAAATCCACAAATCCAGAAGTCGAAAAACGAAAAAATCAATTAATCGATAAGTTAAGAAATCGAAAAAATTTAGAAACGCCAAAAATTAAAGAATTCAAAAATCGAAAAATTGAAAAATCGTAGAACTGAAACTATTGATAAATAATTGAGAAATAGAAAAATTTAAAAATAATAAAACGAGAAATCGAGTAGTTGAGAAATCGAAAAAGTCGAAAAACCAAAAAATCGATTAATCGACAAATTGGGACAACGAAAGGTCGAAAAAATCGGAAATTTAGAAATGTCAAAAATTGAAAAAGATTAAGAAACGAAAATTCAAAATTCCAGAAAACAATAAGTCTAAAAACGACAAAATCTATTAATCGAGAAGTTAAGAAATCGAAAATGTTTTTAAAATTGAAAAATTGAAAAATCGAAAAATTTAAAAATCGTAAAACGCAATTTCGGAAAATTGAGAAATCGAAAAATTTAGAAACAAAAAATAACGAAAAATCCGAAAGTTAAAAAACCAAAAAATCAATTATTCGAGAAAAGTAGAAAAAATCGAAAATATGAAATCGTCAAAAATAGGAAAAGAATCGGAAGATTGAAAAATGCCACGAAATTTCGAAAAATCAAGAAATCGAAAAGTCAAAAATTTAAGCCAAATAACCGAAAATTAAAAAAATCGAAAAACTGACAAATCAAACCTGAAAAGTCG